CTCACATCACATATATTGCTGCAGATGTACAGTTTGCGAGGTATGGGGATCACACACTCACATCACATATATTGCTGCAGATGTACAGTTTGTGTGGTATGGGGATCACACACTCACATCACATATATTGCTGCAGATGTACAGTTTGTGAGGTATCGGGATCACACACTCACATCACATATATTACTGCAGATGTACAGTTTGTGTTATAGGGATCACACACTCACATCACATATATTACTGCAGATGTACAGTTTGTGTTATAGTGATCACACACTCACATCACATATATTACTGCAGATGTACAGTTTGTGAGGTATAGGGATCACACACTTATATCACATATGGTGCTGCACAGTTGATGACCTTGATAGAAATGTGTTTTGTCTCTTAGGTCACATATACGAACCTCGTGTGTGAAAATTATAAAGATGAAAACAGATGAGTTAAACAGGAAAACGGAATGAACATTAACATACTTACACCAAATACTGCACACTTTCTTATACAAAAACGACTTTATAAACATCATATATTTACATTTGATGACAAAATCAACTTTCATACACAAGAGAAAACTGTAATCTACTTGAAGACCCTTCTGTACAATCCCTCTGTTGTTCTTGCTTACATTTGTGAGTAGTTATTGTTCTTGCTTATATGTTTCAGTAGTTTCTGTTCTTGCATACATTTTTTAGTCATTACTGTTCTTGCAAACAAGTTTCAGTAGTTATTGTTCTTGCTAACATGTTTCAGTAGTTATTGTTCTTGCTTATATGTTTCAGTAGTTACTGTTCTTGCATACATTTTACAGTCGTTTCTGTTCTTGCATACATTTTTCAGTCGTTAATGTTCTTGCATACGTTTTTCAGTTGTTATTGTTCTTGCATACATGTTTCAGTAGTTATTGTTCTTGCATACATTTTTCAGTAGTTATTGTTCTTGCTTACATGTTTCAGTAGTTAATGTTCTTGCATACATTTTTCAGTAGTTATTGTTCTTGCATACATGTTTCAGTAGTTACTGTTCTTGCATTCATTTTACAGTCGTTACTGTTCTTGCATACATTTTTCAGTCGTTATTGTTCTTGCATACATGTTTCAGTAGTTATTGTTCTTGCATACATTTTTCAGTCGTTACTGTTCTTGCATACATTTTTCAGTCATTATTGTTCTTGCATACATGTTTTAGTAGTTATTGTTCTTGCATACATTGTTCAGTCATTACTGTTCTTGCATACATTTTTCAGTCGTTATTGTTCTTGCATACATGTTTTAGTAGCTATTGTTCTTGCATACATGTTTCAGTAGTTATTGTTCTTGCATATATTTTTCAGTCGTTATTGTTCTTGCATACATTTTTCAGTCATTATTGTTCTTGCATACATTTTTCAGTCATTATTGTTCTTGCATACATGTTTCAGTAGTTATTGTTCTTGCATACATGTTTCAGTAGTTATTGTTCTTGCATACATGTTTCAGTAGTTATTGTTCTTGCATACATTTTTCAGTCGTTATTGTTCTTGCATAAATTTTTCAGTCGTTATTGTTCTTGCATACATGTTTCAGTAGCTATTCTTGTTTTATCACTCAATATCAATTGTTCTTGCTTACATTTCCTAAAAGTAATTATTCTTGCTTTTAGGTTTTAGTAATTATTCTTCTTGATTATGTCACTCAATATTAATAGTCAGAACACTGATTCAAGAAAACACAGATAAAGGTGATGCTGTAGTTTACACAGATGGGTCATTAATTAGGAGGAAGCGAAGTGCATGGGCCTCCACAGTAAGCTCAAGGGAGAAAACCATCAAGGAGATGAATGGCGCCTTTGCTGTTACAACTAGTAGCCTTACAATGGAAACTATGGCTGTAACAAGGGCTTTAGCATGACTTGGCACTCAAAAGTTCACACACGTATGCATTGTTAGTGACTCGATGAATATGCTTAGAAAAATCTAAGCTGGATTTATCATGCAAGAATGGATTGCAACACTAAATATTTCATGAATATCTGCCCTAACCATCATTTTTGTGCCAGGTTATGCAGGTGTTCAGGGGGATGAGCATAGCAGGCTATCTTGCTGACACTGCAGTTGCTATGGCTGGTCCAGTACTGGACAGAAGTGATGTTATCCATTCCATGCGCTGCATTTACTGTACCCAGGAGCACGCCAAAGGACATGATTTTACTAAGGTGACAAGACGTTTTTATTAACCAACAGAGAACTGGTGTCATCAGTCGTTTTACACTTGTGGAGCTTTTGAGGAGGAGATAGGAGCACCTATAGTGCTGTGATGATAATCCTTTCTAATCATTAATAGTACTTGTTTTTTTGTTCTTGTTTTCACTTCAAGGGTCCCGTTAAAATGAGCGGGAAGTTCTGAAAGTTTTAGGCTTTTAAAGATGTCACAACAGCAGACGCCTGGGTCAGGTGATGGTAGTCAGGTATGGGTTTAAAACCTTCAGCTGTAGACACGAGTGCTTGGATTTCTGGTAGTCGGCATGCAATTTGTTATGTTTCTCACATATATTTCTGGTAGTCAGCCTAAAATTTGTCATGTTTCTCACATATATTTCTGGTAGTCGGTATACAATTTATTATGTTTCTCACATATATTTCTGGTAGTCAGCCTAAAATTTGTCATGTTTCTCACATATATTTCTGGAAGTCAGCCTAAAATTTGTCATGTTTCTCACATATATTTCTGGTATTCAGCCTAAAATTTGTCATGTTTCTCACATTTATTTCTGGTAGTCAGCCTAAAATTTGTCATGTTTCTCACACATATTTCTGGTAGTCGGCATACAATTTATTATGTTTCTCACATATATTTCTGGTAGTCTGAACATAATTTCCTTACAACACAAGCATTTCAGTATGAAACAAATTAAATAATATGTACAATGAGGTATCATTTGATCATGAAAACCTCAGACAATAAAAACACGGAAGAACCAGGAAGGCTAAGCTGGTAATCAAATGTCTGGTGAAGTCGGATGTGTTGACTGAAAGGGACAAATATCGCAGCTATGCTATAACCAGGCCACGGGGACAAGTGACCAAAAAAAAGAAGAAGAACAGAGAAGTATAATTTCATCACGATAAGATTAGATATTAAGAAACATTAAACATAATTTCATGATGTTTAAAAATAAGAAAATTAAAGTGTAAAATTATCACAATCAATTTGTCATCACAGCTTTCCAAGTGGGCACGCATATTCTATTGGCTTTGCCGAGACTACAGTGTTTGAAGTTTTTCCTCGATTGGCATTCTATGTTGTTTTACTGGTGCAGGAATGAAGCATTTATAAGGTGACCTTGAGAGTAAAGATCGGCACAGCCAAGCATGAGAAGCACACTGGATGCACACAAAGTCTTGTTAACCAACATAGGACTGGTACTATTAACAGCACAACGCTGATGAATATGTTGAGAGGGGAATCTGAGCACCTATGGATATGTACGAAGTGCTGTGAAGATAATCTAATCTAACTCATAAGGTGACCTGTTTGACATCATCTTGCTCAGTGACAGAACTGATAATTGTTTTCCATTCCTTTTTGAAGAAAATCTGTTATGCCCCCCCCCCCCCCCCCCCCCCGACCTTTCCTCCCCATTCCCCTTCAGGTCAACACTTATAACATTGTTAAATGTTGATTCACAGCACTCTGGACATTCCCACAGGCACTCCGTCTCCCATTTTCAAAGCAAGCATAGCATTTCAATTATGATAGCACCAGGAACAGAATGTTGAATGTTAAATTAGGAATCAACATCACAGCCCTCGGGACACTCCTATAAGTTCTCAGTCTCCATCTTTAACAGCAAGCCAAAAGTTCCAATTACGATGGTACCAGTGACAGTCTGATTGTATATCCATCTCGCCCTTCCCCTGAGTGTTGAACGTTAGCGAGATCCCCTGGTAACTCCTCGCAGCGCCGTTCTTCTCAGACCGTAATGATCTAAATGAGCCTCCGCACTGTTCACTCGTCTCCAAAGGGTCCTCACAATATGTAACTTGACATGCATCAATTCACCACCAAATGGTGCAGAATTAGCCAGCAGTCATGGAGAAAATATCTAAAGGGTGCTAACAACCAGGAACAGATTGATTGCATATCCCTCTTACCTTTCCCTTAGGTGTCTGCACCATTCTTCTCACACCTCAATGATCTATTTATGCCCCTACACTGTTCACTCACTCCCAAAGGTCTCTTACAACATCCAGCTTGCAATGCAACAATTAGCCACCAAGTGGTGCAGAACCAACCAATCTATCTGGCTCCGTATTTTCCACCACACTACCATGAGATAGAGAACATATGTCGAAGACGCTAACTACTTGGGACCTCTAAAGTGATGCTTACCACTTTGCACAAAGCACACTTGTCTCCACTTTTCTCAACATGCTCTGTGAGTCAGTTACAATTACAACATGTTTGTACAGTAGGTTCTTAAGCTAGCAGAAAGCTGCAGTGTTTGCTTTCACCTTCATTTTCAAACTAGACATTGTGATATCTGAATGTCAGTTGAAGGTGGCCGCCTGGCAGGGGTCTGGTACTGTTCCTCACATCTTGTTCAATCTAATTTTTCAGTGTTTATGAATTATCATGACTTTTGAAATAGCAATGATTTAACTACTGTTGTTTTGGTAGCTACAGACAGTTTGTGTCCCAAAAATTATTTAAATAAGTGTAGGAATGTATTACCACTTGGAAATACTTCCTGATATCTCAAAATAAGGATAAATAAATCACCTGCAGGAAATAATTCACGGTGTCTCTAAATGTGAGGATGAAGAAATCACCTACAGAAAATACATCCTGATGAATCGAAATGTGAGGATGAAGAAATCACCTGCAGGAAATACTTCTTGGCGTAAACCAATTTGTGGATGAAGAGTTCACCCACAGGAAATACTTTTTGATGTATACAAATGTGTGGATGGAGAGATCACCAATTGGAAATACTTAACACAGTCTGCAAGTCAAAATTCAAAAGTCTTTAAAGCGTTCATTGTGTTCTTCAGAAGCTGCCGGTGTTGTCCTCCAGTCGTCCTCATCGTATGTCTCAAAGTTGGTTGTATCTCCCTCATGTGAGATCTTTGGAACAATTGGCGGCTGCATCAGAGACAAAAAACAGTTAGGGCACAAATTTATCAAAAATAGGCATAAACAGCAACAACAGATAGGATGTTGGGTAATGTGTCTTATACTAACATAAACAGCAACAACAGATATGATGTTGGGTAATGTGTCTTATACTAACATAAACAGGAAATTGTGACACAATATTAGGAAATGTGTCTTATACTAACATAAACAGGAAATTGTGACACAATATTAGGAAATGTGTCTTAAATTTGCATAAACAGGAAACTACAAACACGATACTATGGAATGAGTCTTATTTCGGCACACTCTGGAAATTACAGACACAATTTTGGGAAATGTGTCTAAAACTGTCATAAACAGGAAACTACAGACATGATGTTGGGAAATTTGGCTTATATAGGCATGAAAGGAAACAACAAAGTTGGGAAATGTGACAATTAACAATTTCTTTTTATGTTTACAATACTCTCAGTGTTTCTGATCATTGTGTTTATGTGCTCGCATGTATATGTGTGTGTGTGTGTGTGTGTGAGTGTGTGCATGTGCACGTATGTGTGTGTATGTGAGTGGGAGTGTGTGTGTGTACGTGTGTAATTGTGTGTGTGTGTGTGTGCATATGTGTGTGTGTGTATGTGAGTGGGAGTGTGTGTACGCACATAATTGTGTGTGTGTGTGCGTGTGAGCGTATGTGTGTGTGGCCCCTCATCCTGTTTCTCCTCATGAGCAGCTGCCTGTTTGTCATATATATCTACTAAAGTTAGATGGGGATGTTCATCTGATCTTAGTTTGTATTCTGCTCTGTCCTTTGGATATCTCACGTTTGTCGTCCAAGTTGCGTCTTCTTGTATTTTCAGTTATATAGAAAATGTAACAAACATAAGACAAAAGATAAGAAGGTGTAGCAACATATAAGACAATGGATAAGCAAATGTAGGCATATATGAGACAGTGGATGAGGAAATGTGGCCATATATGAGATAAAGGATAAGGAAATATAGTTTTATATGAGATAATACATAAACAATTGTAGCCATATACGAGACAACAGATAAGCAAATGCAGGCATATAAGAGACAATGGATAAGGAAATGGAGCCAGATATGAGACATTCTTCAAGACAATATAGCAATAAAAAAAGACATTCAATTAGGAAAAGAAGGCATGCAATTAATATGGGACTATGGATTAGGAAATGCAGCAATATACGAGACAATAGATAAGCAAATGAAGGCATATAAAAGACAATGGATAAGGAATTGGAGCCATATATGATTCACATGACAAGAAAATGTATCTATATGTGAAACAATGGATAACGAAGTGTAACAATATATGAAACAATGGATAACAAAGTGTAACAATATATGAAACAATGGATTTAAAAAAATGCAGCAATATATGAGACATTAGGTAGAGATATGTAGCCATATGCAGTACAATAGATATGGAAATGTAGCTATATATGATATAACTGTTAAGGACATTTAGCCATATATGTGATGATGGAAAGGGAAATGCAGCAGCATATCATATATTGATGAGGGAATATACCAGAGAATGAATACACATTTGCATGAGACAAACGAGGAATTGCAACAATAGCTGCAAAATCAGATCAGCTAATTAGGCAATAGATGAGAAACTGTTACAGAATATGAGACAACATTTAATCAAGTAAAAATGCGGACAAGGAATTGAACATTTCTAAAAACAATACAAAAGATAAAAATAACCTTTAATTTCTTTGCTAAGACATCCTCCCAGTTTTGACCTTTGAACCATTTATGTTTCTTGATGTCCTCAGCTCCGTTCTACATAGTGGAAATAAAAACAAACAAATAAGACTTTGAATTAACATAAAAAATGTACTTACATAGAGGTCATATTGTGGTTTGTAGCAACAGGTGTTAACATGTTCCAAATAATGCTATATGGGGTTATGTTATCAGTTTCCTTTACGGAGCCTGCCTCTTCCTTCAATTCAGGTAGTCAAGTTTTTTGTATCCATGTCCCTGTATCTGGATCAACCAGGCATCATTCTGATAAAGAGAACAATGTCCTCTCTATTAGCGAGTGAGCCCTGACCCTAATCCTAACAGGAAAATACATTATCTCCCTTTCCTGAGTGTTTCAAGTACTTTATCTCCCCTTCCATTTTCCATTGTAAAATATTTTTGCATTTAAGCAGATATGTACAACACATATCAACTTTATCTCTGCAGGAAATCTTGTGCTCATTAAATATAACATGTGTGTCTTCTCACAAGCCAGCTGTTTCAAACCTTTGTTTCTAAATTATGTATTCTTAACTCTTTGAGTCCCAAGGAACGCATCATACGTTAATAGATTCCTACCTAGAAGCCCAATGAACGTATGATGCGCCGATTTTATCACTTTCTTTACTAACCCCTGGGCCTGTGATGCTAAACCCCCTGGGACTCAAAGAGTTAAGGGTATCTTACAATCTCTTTAATGACTTCTGGCAATGATCTGAAAACATGGGAAGTCACTGACCTTGGCACCCATGTCTTTGTCAAGAGCAGCAGTATGTATAACAGATTCAGTAGGTAAAAAAAGACACGCAGAAAAAGGTCGTGACCAGGATTACCCAGCTGACATGACTCAGATCTCCTGCCGACTCAGCACGAGAAGATTCTATGCCAAGTTGGGCTATAATGTTCACCGACCTACTCACACATCCCATTTTTAGCTGATGAAAACATTGGTCACCATCACACAGCAGTGACTCAGGGATAAGGAATGTACACTGGGTGTGGATGTCTCTGACTTGTCTATGAAATATCAGTTCTATTATGTTTACATGCTGTTACAATGACTTGTCCATGAAATATGAGCTCCATCATGTTTACATGTTGTTACAATGACTTGTCCATGAAATATGAGCTCCATCATGTTTACATGCTGTTACAATGACTTGTCCATGAAATATGAGCTCCATCATGTTTACATGCTGTTACAATGACTTGTCCATGAAATATGAGCTCCATCATGTTTACATGCTGTTACAATGACTTGTCCATGAAATATGAGCTCCATCATGTTTACATGCTGTTACAATGACTTGTCCATGAAATATGAGCTCCATCATGTTTACATGCTGTTACAATGACTTGTCCATGAAATATGAGCTTCATCATATGTTCATGACATTACAATTAAACTCCACACTAGAAACATTTAATAGGAACAAACCATTCAAATGTGACGTTTTCTGTGAATATAAAGTTTTTTAATGTGAAAATTATGTTTCTATTAAATGTAGAGAGCCACCAGATCAACAAAACGGTTTACCAAAAGTTTACACTCAGTGCAATGTCAAACATTACCCACACAGATGTTTTAAGTCAGTGCAATGTCACATATTACCCACATAGATGTTTTAAGTCAGTGCAATGTCAATCATTACCCACTCAGATGTTTTAAATCAGTGCAATGTCAAACATTACCCACTCAGATGTTTTAAATCAGTGCAATGTCAATCATTACCCACACAGATGTTTTAAATCAGTGCAATGTCAATCATTACCCACTCAGATGTTTTAAATCAGTGCAATGTCAATCATTACCCACACAGATGTTTTAAATCAGTGCAATGTCAAACATTACCCACATAGATGTTTTCAATCAGTGCAATGTCAAACATTACCCACATAGATGTTTTAAATCAGTGCAATGTCAAACATTACCCACACAGATGTTTTAAATCAGTGCAATGTCAAACATTACCCACATAGATGTTTTAAATCAGTGCAATGTCAAACATTACCCCCTCAGATGTTTTAAATCAGTGCAATGTCAAAAACTACCCACACAGATGTTTTAAATCAGTGCAATGTCAATCATTACCCACTCAGATGTTTTAAGTCAGTGCAATGTCAATCATTACCCACTCAGATGTTTTAAATCAGTGCAATGTCAAACATTACCCACTCAGATGTTTTAAATCAGTGCAATGTCAATCATTACCCACTCAGATGTTTTAAATCAGTGCAATGTCAATCATTACCCACACAGATGTTTTAAATCAGTGCAATGTCAAACATTACCCACATAGATGTTTTAAATCAGTGCAATGTCAAACAAGAAGAAGCGCATGGGCATTTACAGCACGCTCAGCGGGCAGAACAGTCAAAGAAGCCAACGGCGCCTTCTCCATGACAACCAGCAGCATGACGATGGAGGTGATGGCAGTGACACAAGCGCTTGCCTGGCTTGAAACACAAAAATACACCCGCGTGTGTATACTCAGTGATTCAATGAGTATGATCAGGAGGGTTCAGGCAGGTTCAGTGCGAAGACAATGGCTTGAATCATTACAGAAGTCCACTGTTCGTGGAATCACCTTTATTTTTGTTCCGGGACACGCAGGCGTCGATGGAAATGAAAGAGCTGACAGGTTGGCTGGATCCGCTATCACTACCGACGGTCAGCCTATGGATCATGCTGATATTATCAATGCCCTCAGAGAAATGGGAAGAATAGAGGACTTTGGTGGCAGTGAATCCACATCACTTGCCAGAATGGCAGACTTGGGAATTAAGATCGGCACAGCAAAAAACGAGACGCACACCAGCTACGCCAGAAGACTTGTTAATCAACATAGAACTGGTACTATTAGCCATCGGACGTTGGGGTTCATACTGAGGGGAGGATCTGAGCACCTATGGACATGTCCGGAGTGCAATGAGGATAACCCAACTAACTAACTAACTAACAAATGTCAAACATTACCCACTCAGATGTTTTAAATCAGTGCAATGTCAAAAACTATCCACACAGATGTTTTAAATCAGTGCAATGTCAAACATTACCCACACAGATGTTTTTAATCAGTGCAATGTCAAACATTACCCACACAGATGTTTTAAATCAGTGCAATGTCAAACATTAACCACACAGATGTTTTAAATCAGTGCAATGTCAAACATTAACCACAAAGATGTTTTAAATCAGTGCAATGTCAAACATTAACCACACAGATGTTTTAAATCAGTGCAATGTCAAACATTAACCACAAAGATGTTTTAAATCAGTGCAATGTCAAACATTACCCACACAGATGTTTTAAGTCAGTGCAATGTCACATATTACCCACATAGATGTTTTAAATCAGTGCAATGTCAAACATTAACCACATAGATGTTTTAAATCAGTGCAATGTCAAACATTACCCACACAGATGTTTTAAATCAGTGCAATGTCAAACATTACCCACACAGATGTTTTAAGTCAGTGCAATGTCACATATTACCCACATAGATGTTTTAAATCAGTGCAATGTCAAACATTAACCACAAAGATGTTTTAAATCAGTGCAATGTCAAACATTAACCACACAGATGTTTTAAATCAGTGCAATGTCAAACGTTAACCACACAGATGTTTTAAATCAGTGCAATGTCAAACATTAACCACACAGATGTTTTAAATCAGTGCAATGTCAAACATTAACCACAAAGATGTTTTAAATCAGTGCAATGTCAAACATTAACCACAAAGATGTTTTAAATCAGTGCAATGTCAAACATTACCCACACAGATGTTTTAAATCAGTGCAATGTCAAACATTACCCACACAGATGTTTTAAATCAGTGCAATGTCACACATTAACCGTGCAGATGTTTTAAATCAGTTAAAGATAACTAAAATATGGTTTATTTATTCGTTTCTGTTTAGAAAATGTTCAGATTTTATATGACTCAAACAGAGAATGTGGAGACAACTCAATGACTGACCTTCATGTTTCCTAGTCGTCGAGTTCTGTCCGGATGGAGTAATTTCTTAATGAGATCTCTGAAACAATTGTATTACATGAGTACAAATCACAGGATCAGTGGATTTACTTGTATGTGCAGCTGTAGATATTTCCCCCTGAGCCACACAGGATTACCTGGTGTACTTTTATGTGCAATCGTATATATCTATCACTAAGCCACATGGGATTACCTGGTGTACTTCTATGTGCAATCGTATATATCTTTTACTGAGCCACACAGGATTACCTGGTGTACTTCTATATGCAATCGTATATATCTTTTACTCAGCCACATATGATTACCTGGTGTACTTTTATGTGCAGCCGTGCATATCTTTTACTGAGCCACATAGGATTACCTGGTGTATTTCTATATGCAATCGTATATATCTTTCACTGAGCCACATAGGATTACCTGGTGTATTTCTATATGCAATCGTATATATCTTTCACTGAGCCACATAGGTTTATCTGATGTACTTGTATGTGCAGCCGTGTAAATCTTTCATTCAGCCACATAGGATTAACTGATGTGTTTCTATATACAGCTGTGTATATCTTTCACTCAGCCACATAGGATTAACTGATGTGCTTTATACAGCCATGTATATCTTTCACTGAGCCACATAGGTTAGTCGAAAAGGTGTGTTTAAAACACTAAAGAAGATTGTGTGTCATCTACTCTACTGAGAATTATTTAGTCGTTCCACATAGGTATGAAAGGTATAATCAACTTTGAGGATGTAACATCGGAGGAGTTTGTAATCATCGACCAAGTGAAGCAAGGATGTGTACTTTCTCCTACCCTCTTTGGAATATACGTCTCACTTCTTTTGAAACGTGCCTTTCGAGGTTAGGCTGGTGGTATATTCATCCATTCTCGATCTTTTAGCAGCCTTTACAATGCTCGTATGCTGTAAGCCAAAATCAGGATAAGAAAGGTACTTATCAGAGAGCTGTTGTTTTCAGATGATGCAGCAATAACCACCCACTCCGAGAAGGAGCTGCAATGTTTACTATCTGCCTTTGCTGATGCATGCTGTAAATTTGGGCTAACAATCAGCAAAAAAAAAAGACAAAGAGTATGGTGCAAGGTGTTAACGACAGACCTGCAGTCTACATTGACAGTGAAGAGCTGGAGACAGTTGACGATTTTACCTATCTGGGTTCCACCGTAAATAACAAACTATCGCTGGATCAAGACATCAACATCAGGATATGTAAGGCAGCAACAACAAAGAGGAGGTCAACAAAAAGTGTTTGGGAGAACAGAAAGTTCACGATTACAACAAAAACTCATGTCTATCAGGCTTTTATTCTCAGAACTCTGGAACTATGGCAGTGAAACTTGGTCAGCTTATTGGCACCAGGAGAGACGACTAAAACAGCTTTTACTTGGGTTGTCTAAGAAAAATACCTGGCATTATGTGGCAGGACAAGATCACAAACACTGAGGTACTGGAAAGAGCAGGGTACTACAACAGTCTTCTCAATGCTTAGTCTACAAAGGCTCAGATGGCTGGATCACACCTTGAGAATGGGAGATGGCAGGACAAGATCACAAACACTGAGGTACTGGAAAGAGCAGGTACTACAACAGTCTTCTCAATGCTTAGTCTACATAGGCTCATATGGCTGGATCACACCTTGAGAATGGGAGATGGCAGGAGTCCCTAAGGACATCCTTTATTGTGAATAAAGACGGGTAGAAGATGTCAAGGCCGACCTCTAACATCAAGTACAAGCAGGACATGAATGATACAAGTATTAAGGTGGACTCATGGGAACAAAATGCCATGGGTCGTATTGTGTAGAGGAAAACATTAGGAAAGGAATGAGAGAAATGAAAGGACCTCAGAATTAACTCGTTCATATGTCTTTTATAGCTCAACATGTATTATCTTACACAACCAAAAGCACCAATGGAAAAATTACCCTTTTTCTGCCATTACTAATTATATGCCGGATAGTAGATTTCATTTTTAATTGTATAACCATTCAGTGGGTGGCAGATGCAAACAGGAGACATGAATGACTGAAGAAAACCGGGAGAAGGACAGTAGAAAGGGAAAAGAAGGAGTGTTCATGACTGTACCATAAGCAAAATATTAGTAGACCGGCAGCAACCTGTGAAATGATTGCCTTATGTGTTGACAATCACATATATATATCATATATATCACTTATATCTTATATCAGATATATATAATATATCACATATATCACATAAATCATATATATCATATATCATATATACACACAGATGCAAAATAAACAGGCGTCAATAATAAACGAAGCATTTACTTGGCAATGGTATCAATATGTTTCGGCCACTCTGTTTTTCCTGCGATGATCTTCTCATAAATTCCAAATGGATTTTCTGCATAATATGGAGGGTACCTGTCGGGCATAAGGAGGACAATCATTTGGGATATCAAGTATACAATCATGTGGGATATCAGGGATACAATCATGTGGGACATCAGGAATACAGTCATGTGTGATAACAAGGATACAATCATGTGGGACATCAGGTATATAATCATGTATGTCATAAACACTACAATCATGTGTGACATCAAGGATACAATCAAGTGTGACATCACAGAGACAATCATGTATGATATCAAAGAGATGATCATGTTTGATATCAGAGAGACAATCATGTTTTTTATCAGAGAGACAATCATGTGGGACATCAGGAAGACAATCATGTGGGATATCCGAGAGACAATCATATGGGATATCAGAGAGACAATCATGTGTGACATCAGGAAGACAATAAAGTGGGACATCAGAGAGACAATCATGTGTGATATCAGAGAGACAATCATGTGGGATATCAGAGAGACAATCATGTGTGAAACCAGAGAGACAATCATGTGTGATATCAGAGAGACAATCATGTGTGATATCAGAGAGACAATCATGTGTGATATCAGAGAGACAATCATATGTGATATCAGAGAGACAAACATGTGTGATATCAGAGAGACAATCATGTGTGATATCAAAGAGACAATCATGTGTGATATCAAAGAGACAATCATGTGTGATATCAAAGAGACAATCATGTGTGATATCAAAGGGACAATCATGTGTGATATCAGGAAGACAATCATGTGTGATATCAGAGAGACTATCATGTGTGATATCAGAGAGACTATTATGTGTGATATCAGAGAGACTATCATGTGTGATATCAGAGAGACTATCATGGGTGATATCAGAGAGACTATCATGTGTGATATCAGAGAGACAATCATGTGTGATATCAGAGAGACTATCATTTGGGACATCAGAGACACAGTCATGTTTGACATCAGGGAGATAATGATGTGGGGCATAAGGGAGATAATCATGTGTGTCATTAGGGAGAAAATCATGAGTGACTTCACGCAGACAATCAAGCGGGACATCAGGGAGACAATCAAGCGGGACATCAGGGAGACAATCAAGCGGGACATCAGGGAGACAATCAAGCGGGACATCAGGGAGACAATCATGTGTAACCTTAGGGAGGCAGTCATGTGTGACATCAGGTAGACATTAATGTGAGACGTCAGAAAGACAATAATGTGTGATGTCAGGGAGGCAGTCACGTGGGACGTCAGGTAGAAAATCACTAGTGTCATCAGGGAGACATCAATGTAAGACACCAGGGAGACATCAATGTGAGACATCAGGGAGACGATAATGTGTGTTATCAGGGACACAATAATGTGAGACGTCAGGGAGAAAAAAATGTGTGACACCAGAAAGAAAAAAAATGTCTGACGTCAGGAAGACAATAATGTGTAACATCATGGAAACAATAATGTTTGATGTAAGGGAGACAATAATGTGTGACATCATGGAAACAATAATGTTTGATGTAAGGGAGACAATAATGTGTGACATCAGGGAGGCAAACATGTGTGACATCTGTACTTACCCTGCCAACATCTCATATATCAAGACTCCCAGAGCCCACCAGTCCACAGCCTTGTTGTGACCTTTGCTGAGAATGATTTCAGGAGCCAGGTACTCTGGAGTCCCACACAGTGTCCATGTCCTAAGAGAGATATTTTTAAAAGTATTTCCATGTCCTGACTTAAACGGAGGCAACATTAGGTCCTGTCCTAACAGAAAGAGAGGCAATGTTAGCTCATGTGCTAACCAAAAGGGAAGCAACATAGAATATTTCATGACAGAAAATGGGAATAATATTACGTCACATAATGACCTATTTATCCATCTTCTTTAACCCCACTACAAAGCGATAAATACCCGATTACACAAAGTGCCTCCACGCGGATGAGGATCACTCGTGGAGAGGTCCCAGAACTGCGTTAATCCATTGTCCTAGTGGTGTTAAATGTACTACTACTTATCTACCACATTTGCCTCACTCGTTCTCTACACATGTACTCTACCACATATGCCTCACTCGTTCTCTACACATGTCCTCTACCACATATACCTCACGCCCTCTATCACACATGCCTCACCTGTCCTCTACCACACATGCGTCACCTGTCCTTTACCACACATGCCTCACCTGCCCTCTACGACACATGCCTCACCTGTCCTTTACCACACATGCCTCACCTGTTCTCTACCACACATGCCTCAACTGTCCTCTACCACACATGCCTCACCTGTCCTCTATCACACATGCCTCACCTGCCCTCTACGACACATGCCTCACCTGTCCTTTACCACACATGCCTCACCTGTCCTCTATCACACATGCCTCACCTGTCCTCTACCAAACATGCCTCACCTGTCCTCTATCACACATGCCTCACCTGTCCTCTACCAAACATGCCTCATATGTCCTCTATCACACTTGCCTCACCTGTCCTCTACCACACATGCCTCACCTGTCCTCTACCAAACATGCCTCACCTGTCCTTTACCAAACATGCCTCACCTGTCCTCTATCACACATGCCTCACCTGTCCTCTACCAAACATGCCTCACCTGTCCTCTACCAAACATGCCTCACCTGTCCTCTACCAAACATGCCTCACCTGTCCTCTACCAAACATGCCTCACCTGTCCTCTACCAAACATGCCTCACCTGTCCTCTACCACACATGCCTCACCTGTCCTCTACCACACATGCCTCACCTGTCCTCTACCACACATGCCTCACCTGTCCTCTACCACACATGCCTCACCTGTCCTTTACCACACATGCCTCACCTGTACTTTATCACACATGCCTCATCTGACCTCTATCACACTTGCCTCACCTGTCCTCTCCACACATGCCTCACCTGTTCTCTACCACACATGCCTCACCTGTCCTCTACCACACATACCTCACCTGTCCTCTACCACACATGCTTCACCTGTCCTCTACCACACATGCCTCACCTGTCCTCTACCACACATGCCTCACCTGTCCTCTACCACACATGCCTCACCTGTCCTCTACCACACATGCCTCACCTGTCCTCTACCACACATGCCTCACCTGTCCTCTACCACACATGCCTCACCTGCCCTCTACCACAAATGCCTCACCTGTTCTCTACCACACATGCCTCACATGTCCTCTACCACACATGCCTCACCTGCCCTCTACCACACATGCCTCACCTGCCCTTTACCACACATGTCTCACCTGTCCTCTACCACACATGCCTCACCTGTCCTCTACCACATATGCCTCACCTGTCCTCTACCACATATGCCTTACCTGTCCTCTACCACATATGCCTTACCTGTCCTCTACCACATATGCCTCACCTGTCCTCTACCACATATGCCTTACCTGTCCTCTACCACACATGCCTCACCTGTCCTCTACCACACATGCCTCACCTGTCCTCTACCACACATGCCTCATCTGTCCTTTACTACACATGCCTTACCTGTCCTCTACCACACATGCCTCACCTGTTCTCTACCACACATGCCTCACCTGTTCTCTACCACACATGCCTCACCTATCCTCTACCACACATGCCTCACCTGTTCTCAACCAAGCATGTCTCATATGTTCTCCACTACACACGTCTCACTTGCCCTCTTCCATACGTCTCATCTTTAGACTAACACACACAGCTTACTTGTCTTCTACCACCCACGGCTCACCTGTCTTGTATCACACATGTCTCACCTGTCTTATACCACACATGTCTCACCTGTCTTCTACCACCCACGGCTCACCTGTCTTATACCACACATGTCTCACCTGTCTTCTACCACACATGTCTCACCTTTAGTCTACCACACATGTCTCACCTGTCTTCTACCACCCACGGCTCACCTGTCTTATACCACACATGTCTCACCTGTCTTCTACCACACATGGCTCACCTGTCTTCTACCACTTTAGCAAACCCAAAGTCCGTGATCTTGAGGTGACCTTCTCTGTCCAGTAGCAGGTTTTCAGGCTTCAGATCTCTGTAGATAATGGCCTTGCCATGTAAGTATTCCAGGGCCACTATGATCTCACTGGCGTAGAAATTACCTGCCGAATTGCTGAAGCGGCCCATGCTTCTGAGGTAAGAGAAGAGCTCGCCTCCTGGAACATACTCCAGCAACATGTACAGGAATGTGTCATCTTTGTGGGCCCACAGTCTGTGGAGGAATAAACCAGACATTGTAGAGCAAGGTGTTATCTTTGTGGGAGCACAGTGTGGAGAGATAAACCAGACATTGTAGAGCAAGGTGTTATCTTTGTGGCAGCACAGTCTGTGGAGGAATAAACCAGACATTGTAGAGCAATGTGTTATCTTTGTGGAAACACAGTCTGTGGAGAAATAAACTATTTTACAGGGACCTTAATATAAGTATAAAGAAGACATTGCTGTCATTACTAACTTTTTGTTTTTGCTCGACTAAGATTTTCATTGCGACATTGTCATCCATGACCTTTGCCCTCTAAAACCATACTTTAAGATCATTCAGGCTGTCATGGTATGTGTGTCTTAATAAATTCACATGTATAAAGACAAGGTAGTTGATAACTAGGCGAAACAAGGAGATTGTGGTGAAACTATGCCAACATAATGACACGTTCCCACGGCGATAAAGCGAAGATGAGACAAGACTATTTTCTTCTTGTTCTTGTTTTTTTCTTTTTCTTTTCTCTACTCCTGGAATTCCTCGCAGTATCAGGGCAGAAAAAAGAGTAATAGGTTAGAAAAATTGAGCTATGATTTCTTCATTGTAAGATGGTGGAAGGGTGAAATGATAAGATGGTAAAAATGTATAAAACAGCGAAACATTAGGTTTATATTCATCACAGCAGTTGTTCCCACCCAAATCAATCAGTCACGGACAGTTAACATCACGTGTGCATCTTTGAGACCTGTCCAGTCAGCTCAGTTCTCCGTCCAGTCAACCAAGTTCTCTGTCCAGTCAGCCAAGTTCTCCGTCCAGTCAGTCAAGTTCTCTGTCCAGTCAACCAAGTTCTCAGTCCAGTCAAACAAGTTCTCCGTCCAGTCAGCCAAGTTCTCTGTCCAGTCAACTAAGTTCCGTCCAGTCAGCCAAGTTCTCTGTCCAGTCAACTAAGTTCTCCATCCAGTCAACCAAGTTCTCAGTCCAGTCAGCCATGTTCTTCGTCCAGTTAGCCAAGTTCTCTGTCTAGTCAACCAAGTTCTCTGTCCAGTCAACCAAGTTCTCCGTCCAGTCAGCCAAGTTATCTGTTCAGTTAGCCAAGTTCTCCGTCCAGTCAACCAGGTTCTCTTTCCAGTCAGCCAAGTTCTCTGTCCAGTCAACCAAGTTCTCCGTCCAGTCAGCTAAGTTTTTTATCGAGTCAGCCTCGTTATCTATCCAGTCAGTCCCTTGGTCTGTCCCGTAAGCACAGTTCTGTATCCAGTCAGTCACTTGGTCTGTCCCGTAAGCACAGTTCTGTATCAAGTCAGTCACTTAGTCTGTCCAGTAAGCACAGTTCTCTATCCAGTCCGCCCAATTCTGTATCCGGTACGCCCAATTCTGTATCCAGTCCGCCCAATTCTGTATCCGGTACGCCCAATTCTGTATCCGGTACCCTCAATTCTGTATCCGGTACGCCAAGTTCTCTTTCTAGTCAGTCAAGGCCTGTATTCGGTGCTTTCTTTGTTGGCCGTTTCTACTTTTCCTTTCTCTCAAGAACTGTAGAATTGTTTTTGAGAGCACACACTAAAATACACAGAAGGCCAACACGCTGCTCATTAGGCAACATGGTGGTACGTTAGCAACACTGTGGTAAGTTAGTAATATAATGGTCAGATGGTAAAACAATAGAAGGTTGGTAGAACGGTTGCAAAAATGATGCAACGGGGATCAGATGGTAAAAGTGTAAACAAAACGCAGCAGAAACATACAGACTGGCCTGGAAAGGGTGGATGACGATTACGGTTGCATGTTGACCAGGAAAGGGTGGATTGTGATACTTACAGGTTGACCAGGAAAGGGTGGATTGTGATACTTACAAGTTGACCAGGAAAGGGTGGATTGTGATACTTACAAGTTGACTAGGAAAGGGTGGATTGTGATACTTACAGGTTGACCAGGTAAGGGTGGATTGTGATACTTACAGGTTGACCAGGAAATTGTGGTTTGTGATACCTACAGGTTGACCAGGAAAGGGTGGATTGTGATACTTTCAGGTTGACTAGGAAAGGGTGGTTTGTGATACTTACAGGTTGACCAGGAAAGGGTGGATTGTGATACTTACAGGTTGACCAGGAAAGGGTGGTTTGCGATACTTACTGGTTGACCAAGAAAGGGTGGATTGTGATACTTACAGGTTGACCAGGAAAGGGTGGCTGATGGAAGAAAGGATTTGTTTCTCCGACTTGATGTGATCCTCCTGTTTGAGCTTGAACACCTGGGTGATAGACATGACCTTGAGAGCGCTGTATTCTTTGGTATCCTTGTGGCGAGTCAGCACCACGCGACCGAACGTCCCTGTTCCTGTTCAGATACAGGTACACAAAGTAGTCACATTGTTAAGCTGACAGTGACAACCACTGTAGCAACAAAACCATTGACAAAAATGTCGCAAGAATAACACCGACGACTTTGTAGCAACAACACCTACGTCAATGTAGCAAAAAACAACATCTATAATAATGTAGCAAAATTCGAAATGCACAACCACTGTAGCAACAACAAAATTCACCACCACTGCAGCAACTACATCAGGCACGACAACTGTAGCAAAAATACTATCCACAATTACTGTAGCAACAACACCTCAAGTCACATCAACAAAGCAAATACAATAGCAAAAATAAGACCACATTGACATCCATAACTATCACATAAACATGTTTACATTTCAGTTGAAACTATTCACATGTAAACTTGTGAGCTTATAGGAGCCATCAACGTGAAGGTGACTGTATGTGACATCAAAGTGAAGGTGACTGTATGTGACATCAACGTGGAGGTGACTGTATGTGACATCAACGTGAAGGTGACTTATGTGACATCAACGTAAAGGTGACTGTGTGTGACATCAACGTGAAGGTGACTGTATTTGACATCAACGTGAAGGTGACTGTATGTGACATCAACGTGAAGGTGACTGTATGTGACATCAAAGTGATGCTGACTGTATGTGACATCAACGTGAAGGTGACTGAATGTGACATCAGCGTGAATGTGACTGTAAATGACATTAACGTGAAGGTGACTGAATGTGACATCAACGCGAAGGTGACTGTATGTGACCTTAAAACAAAGGTGATTTTATGTGACATTAAGGAGAAAGTGATTATATGTGACATAAAGGTAAAGGTAATTGTATGTGACATAAAGGTGACTGTGAATGTATATGACATCAAGGTTAAGGCGACTGTATGTGACATCCAGGTGAAGGCGACAGTATGTGACATCAACGTGAAGGTGACTGTATGCGACATCAACGTGAAGGTGACTGTATGTGACATTCAACGTGAAGGTGACTGAATGTGACATCAACATGAAGGTGACCTTAAGGCAAAGGCGACTGTATGTGACATCAAGGTGAAAATGACTGTATGCGATATCAAGGTGTAGATGATTGTGTGTAACATGGATGTGAAGCTAACTGTATGTGACATCACGGTGGTCGTGACTGTATGTGACATCACGATGGTCGTGACTGTATGTGATATCACGGTGGTCGTGATTGTATGTGACATCACGGTGGGCGTGACTGTATGTGACATCACGGTAGTCGTGACTGTATGTGACATCATGGTGGTCGTGACTGTATGTGACTTCACTGTCAAGGTGTCTGTTTACGACATCAAGGTTAAGGTGACTGCATGCGATATCAAGGTGAAGGTGAGTGTATGCGACATCAAGGTGAAGTTGATTGTATGTGACCTTAAGGTTAAGATCGTGTGGCCCACTGGGCCCGGTGGCCCTATGCGTTAAAACCTACACTGCAGAGCATTAAAGAGGTCGCTTCTGACCAGTGCCACAGAAGTCATAATAGCTGCATGGTCTGCCATATAATTTGCTTGCTCTGTGCCTCGAACACCCGCATAATCCGGCACAAAGATCCAGGTCAGACCAGCAATTCGTGACATATTGTGTGTGCGTGTGAGACACACACACAGAGAGAGAGAGAGAGAGAGAGAGAGAGAGAGAGAGAGAGAGAGAGATGTGTGCGTGTGAGACAGAGAGAGAGAGATGTGTGTGCGTGTGAGACAGAGAGAGAGATGAGTGTGCGTGTGAGACAGAGAGAGAGAGATGTGTGTGCGTGTGAGACAGAGAGAGAGAGAGATGTGTGTGCGTGTGAGACAGAGAGAGTGAGAGAGAGAGAGAGAGAGATGTGTGTGCGTGTGAGACTGAAAGAGAGATGTGTGTGCGTGTGAGGCAGAGAGAATGAGATGTGTGTGCGTGTGAGACAGAGAGAGAGATGAGTGTGCGTGTGAGACAGAGAGAGAGATGTGTGTGCGTGTGAGACAGAGAGAGAGAGAGAGAGAGAGAGAGATGTGTGTGCGTGTGAGACAGAGAGAGTGAGAGAGAGAGAGAGAGATGTGTGTGCGTGTGAGACTGAAAGAGAGATGTGTGTGCGTGTGAGGCAGAGAGAATGAGATGTGTGTGCGTGTGAGACAGAGAGATTGAGAGATGTGTGTGCGTGTGAGACAGAGAGAGAGAGAGAGAGAGAGAGAGAGAGAGAGAGATGTGTGTGCGTGTGAGACAGAGAGAGAGAGATGTGTGTGCGTGTGAGACACAGAGAGAGAGATGTGTGTGCGTGTGAGACAGAGAGAGAGAGAGAGAGAGAGAGATGTGTGTGCGTGTGAGACAGAGAGAGAGAGAGATGTGTGTGCGTGTGAGACAGAGAGAGATTTGTGTGTGCTAGAACTCTGATTATGTAAGTTTCACATTTCTAATTGTAGTTATTAAATTACATGAAATTAGTGTTGAGAATTATCTCAATCAGTCAATCAGCGTGTTCTTTACAGAATATGGTCGTCCCCAGGATTCACCTGCAAGTCTGTCTCTCCCTAGTCACTTCTCCAGTCCTGTGTGCTCTCATACTCAATGCATCTTGAATGTACTGTATCCACAGAATTCTAACAAATTATATTGACCATTTACCGATTTAAAAAAAGGGACGGACGGGGCTGGAAAACATCCTTGGGAAAGCGGGCTCTCGAAAAGGCAATGAGCATTTTGAATGTTAAAGCAACCATGGAATACAGCGATGCATCTAGCACAGAAGCAAATGAGGGCGTGAACACACAGGCCTTGTAAGATGTTAGTATTCAGTCACGACTTACACAAACCAAACAAACAGTCCTGAATGCCCTCCAGTTTTTGCATCCGCTCTGGGGAGGTTTTGATTCGATGTAGACTAAAAGACTACATGAAAAGTACAGAAAGAATCTACATTTATAATGGCAACCAAACCGGCAACTTGTGAAATGAAGTGCAGTTGCTGGCAATGAAATGTGACCAACCTGTATACTTGATTTACATAACGTCTACTTTACATTCCTGCCAGTGCATCCAAGCGTGACCAAGCTTCAATACCGGCTTTTGTTTGCGGTAATAAAATGCAGACAACAGTTCGATATCTGACATATTTATGTATATGTCACCTTTATAAACAGGTAAAGGATCTGTTGTTGATGTCCACTGACTGGCTGAATTACCTGGCCACGCCATCTCTGCCATTGATCTGACATAATCCTTGATGTGACATTGAGTTACCAAAGTTATTTCAATATTGACAGAGGTCAGCGGGACAGAGACAAGTCTGTGTGATGGAGACGGTTGTGTGAAATAGAAACATTTGTGTGACATAGAAAAGTTTGTATGACAGAGAAAAGTCTGTGTGATGGAGACGGTTGTGTGAAATAGAAACGTTTGTGTGACATAGAAAAGTTTGTATGACAGAGAAAAGTCTGTGTGATGGAGACGTTTGTGTGACAGAGAAAAGTTTGTGTGATGGAGACGTTTGTGTGACATAGAAAAGTTTGTGTGATGGAGACGGTTGTGTGATATAGAAAAGTTTGTGTGACAGAGAAAAGTCTTTGTGATGGAGACGGTTGTGTGACAGAGAAAAGTCTGTGTGATGGTTACGGTTGTGTGACAGAGAAAAGTCTGTGTGATGGAGACGGTTGTGTGACATAGAAACGTTTGTGTGACAGAGAAAAGTTTGTGTGACAGAGAAAAGTTTGTGTGACAGAGAAAAGGTTGTGTGACAGAGAAAAGTTTGTGTGACAGAGAAAAGTTTGTGTGACAGAGAAAAGTTTGTGTAAGAAAGAGATAGGGCAGAAACAGACCAAGGGAGGCGATGCTTGACGCTTTGAAACGATGGCATGGAAGAATATTTTCAGTGAAATAGTTTCTACACCAACATCATATATAACAACTATCTACACTTGGAGACCAACATCATATATAACAACTATCTACACTTGGAGACCAACATCATATATAACAACTATCTACACTTGGAGACCAACATCATATATAACAACTATCTACACTTAGAGACCAACATCATATATAACAACTATCTACACTTGGAGACCAACATCATATATAACAACTATCTACACTTGGAGACCAACATCATATATATAAACAACTATCTACACTTGGAGACCAACATCATATATAACAACTATCTACACTTAGAGACCAACATCATATATAACAACTATCTACACTTGGAGACCAACATCATATATAACAACTATCTACACTTGGAGACCAACATCATATATAACAACTATCTACACTTGGAGACCAACATCATATATAACAACTATCTACACTTGGAGACCAACATCATATATAACAACTATCTACACTTAGAGACCAACATCATATATAACAACTATCTACACTTGGAGACCAACATCATATATAACAACTATCTACACTTGGAGACCAACATCATATATAACAACTATCTACACTTGGAGACCAACATCATATATAACAACTATCTACACTTGGAGACCAACATCATATATAACAACTATCTACACTTGGAGACCAACATCATATATAACAACTATCTACACTTGGAGACCAACATCATATATAACAACTATCTACACTTAGAGACCAACATCATATATAACAACTATCTACACTTGGAGACCAACATCATATATAACAACTATCTACACTTAGAGACCAACATCATATATAACAACTATCTACACTTGGAGACCAACATCATATATAACAACTATCTACACTTAGAGACCAACATCATATATAACAACTATCTACACTTGGAGACCAACATCATATATAACAACTATCTACACTTAGAGAAAAGCATTGAACCACCAGATCCTGTCATCTCCTGGTGATTTATGTAGCCAGGCATGCAAGAGAATTATCTTGAATGTCCGTACTTTAACGAAACACACAGACCAGAGCTCACGTATGCCAAATAAGATTTAACTAAACGTTTATATATATATATATATATATATATATATATATATATATATATATATGTGTGTGTGTGTGTGTGTGTGTGTGTGTGTGTGTGTGTGTGTAGAAAGAGAGAGAGAGACAGAGAGAGTACTAACACAACTAAATTTAACGACAATTCACGAGCAAAAGACAAGTTGTGGCGGTACCGTGTTTTTCTGTGGGTGGGAATAGTTATTACATAACGTTTGAGCAGACCCAGGGTACAGGCATACAATATACGACTAAGTGTTTTTGACCCTTCACTGTCGTTGAAAGAAGGACTGTACTGTCTGCATAGCCAAGTTCCTGAATTCGATTTTCGCCAGTAAAAAAAATGCCCCCCCCCCCCCTTTTTTTTTTTCCGCGTATTGTAATTTGAAAATCCTTGCGTCCTTTCTCACAGAGTTTATTATCTAGACAGACCTGGTAATTTAAAGGAACGTTCCCCTCGGTGGAAATGTAGATTTGTGAGCAGGACAGACTTCTGACGGCAACCACTGATCGGCACACCGCCAGAGAGACTATCACTACTGAAAGCTAATTACAAACTATCGGTGTCCATCTCACACAGTTAAAAATTGGACCTATCTATAAATTTTTCTCAAAAGTCGTAGTAGAATTCTAACATTCCCAATTCAAAGTACTGATAAACAAAGAATCCTATCTGGAGAGGGAGATCCCATACAATGTTCTTCTTCGACAACTCTGCCTACACAAATATCATCGGTCAATTGGGTCGGATATGTCGGTATGCTTTTTGACCTGTTGGTCGTGTTGCTATACGTAGCGCTTCCCAATAGCTTCATGGTTTCACCCGTGAGGGCCTTTGACAGAGATCACTATCTCCCACACGTCTGGCCACTGACATGGTATTTGCAAACTGCTGAGAAGCGCCTGACCGGTTGACATTCAATGATTTGGTAGATTCTATTCACCACTTAACCCTCTTTCATGTTCCATTTAAACAGAGGGGCCACAAACAACATGTGTGTACCTGTATAACTAACTTTCAAGGTCGTACGCAGTGACGCCTATAATTTATGGTTGATGGTATATTTCTTCATACAGTCACTGAAATCGTCCGTAGTCACCTGGATGTTTTTGAGGATGGGCGTCATTTCTTTAAAAAGTCATTTGGGGTTGTCAGGAACAGAAATGTCACGTTCTACCAGGCCAAAGAATTTCCCCTAACATACGTTTTCGAGAATTGTCTGCTTTGTGATGGGATAGGCACTCCACTGGGATTTCATGAGGAGGGGTGGGAAGGGGGGGGGGCGCTACCGCCCAGAAACGTTTTGAAGGGTTCAATCTTTCTGAGATTCTGCAAACTCAGATTCCCATATTTCTACCACACTAACGACTACTTCAGTCCTCAAATAGTGGGACATCTCCCTGGTGTTTTCATACAATTCCACCAGGTGTTTCTGATTACCCGGGTTAATGGTTTTACCCTGGTTTTTTTACAACAGTTTGATGGCCATGAAATAGGCAACAGTGAAACTGATAGACGGTACGAGTGGCTGGTGGCCATCCGTCCACTCTGAAATGTCTGTCGCCCAGACTTATACAACATAACATAAGCCTTGACCCATTGGGGTCGTGTAGGTGTATTGATGAAGGAAGTACTAACACATACAACCCGCCATCTTTCTCTGTCTTTCGCTTAAAAATAAGTGTATGATAACTTAGTCCTGTCCATTTCTTGGTGTTGTCATTCAAGGTCCTTCTTTGCCCTTCTTTTGAAGCACAGTCTTTGCAATCGAATCATGTCTCACCACGTGCCCAACCCAAGCTAGCTTATGACGTTTCACCATTGCTAAGAGAGGTTCCTGTTTGCCGGCAAATTTGTATATTTTGTCTCTGTTTTGTTTATCAGTTTTGTGTTCCAAATAACTAATTCGTAAAATGCGTCTGTAACATTTACATGCGAAAGCCAGAATCATCCTTTCCATTTCCACAATGAAAGTCCAACTTTCACATCCTTGTAAGAAAACAGACAATGCCAGTGATTTGTAAATATTGACTTTGACTGCGATGCTTATTTTGCTCTTCCACATAGTATTCAGCTGCAACATCGCGGCTGTTGTCAAATCAAGTCTTGTGTTGATCTCTTTGTTACAGCTGCTATCGTTGTATATGTGTGAACCAAGATACTCATGGTTTCTAGATACTAACAACAACAAAAAAAAAGGGGGGGGGGGTGAACTTCTAGTTACCCCCTCCCCCTTTTATATTTTATCACATTGGGCCGGGAGTACAAAGAGTAGCCAGCGGTTGCTACCAAGGTAAAAGTCCAACAGTTGATTCACGACAATTGATGCCCAGGTGATCTGATTATCTATATAGATGGCTCAGTGTTGAGAGGAAAGAGAAGTGCCTGGAAGTTCGTAGCGAAAGCAAATGGAAAATCTTTAGTGCAAGACAGCCTAGCATACTAAATCTCAACATCTAACATGAGAAGAGAGGTGGAGGCGGTAACTGCAACTCTCCAATGGTTAGAGATTTAAAGCCCCATCCTAGCTTCTGCAGGAGACCTTGAATATAGCCGGGTCATAGATATGGTCTAGCCATAGATATGGCCTAACGGCTGAAAGGGGTTTCTGGGACCTCTCCACAAGTGATCTTCATCCGCGTGGTGGCACATTGTGTCACCGGGTGTTTATCGCTTGTGCGATGTCCAGGTGTTTTAAAAAGTCAGTTAGTCAGTTGAAACAGGCACTGGATAAAGCAAAGCAAACATGTACATGCAAAGATGGACACAGTCTTCATAATTGTCGACTTCAGGCTGTCAATGATATGCTGATTAGAGTACATCAGCCGTGAGTGTTAAAGAAACAATCACAGGAGAATGTTGTAACTCTGTGTAAGCTGAGAGTTTAAAGACGAGAGCACGTAACAGGACGTTCAACAATGATGATGACGTAACAGGACGTCCAACAATGATGATGACGAAACAGGACGTTCAACAATGATGATGACGTAACAGGACGTTCAACAATGATGATGACGTAAGAGGACGTTTTACAATGTTGCTGGCAGATATTTTCCAATAACAAAATTCCATGCGGTTAACTATCCACTGTCTAGACTTAAGTTATGAAGTATTACCAATAATAGAATACAAACGGATTATGACTCTAAACAAACGCTGTCAAATTTACACACTCACAATTAGACACTGTAACTGAACACTGCCAACAATAAACACTGTACCAGATGTCATCGATACATCACACATACAAACTAAATGTCGCATTTAACATTCAAAAACTCTACTAGAGTTTTGACTGCATTTGCTTGTCTAAGACACCTCATCATTTGTGTTGCCTGTCTCAATTAGATGTCTGTGAGAATACCTCATTACTTGTGCTGCCTGTCTCAACTAGATGTCTGTGAGAATACCTCATTATTTGTTGTGCTTGTCTCAACTAAACGTCTGTGAGAATGCTTCATTATTTGTGTGACCTGTCTCAACTAAACATCTGTGAGAATACCTCATTACTTGTGCTGCCTGTCTCAACTAGATGTCTGTGATAATGCTTCGTTATTTGTGTGACCTGTCTCAACTAAACGTCTGTGAGAATACCTCATTATTTGTGCTGCCTGTCTCAACTAAACGTCTGTAATAATGCTTCATTATTAGTGTGACCTGTCTCAACTAAACGTCTGTGAGAATACCTCATTATTTGTGCTGCCTGTCTCAACTAGACGTCTGTGAGAATACCTCATTACTTGTGCTGCCTGTCTCAACTAGACGTCTGTGAGAATACCTCATTATTTGTGCTGCCTGTCTCAACTAGACGTCTGTGAGAATACCTCATTACTTGTGCTGCCTGTCTCAACTAGACGTCTGTGAGAATACTTCATTATTTGTGTGACCTGTCTCAACTAGACGTCTGTGAGAATACCTCATTATTTGTGTGACCTATCTCAACTAGACGTCTGTGAGAATACCTCATTATTTGTGCTGCCTGTCTCAACTAGATGTCTGTGAGAATGCTTCATTATTTGTTGTGCTTGTCTCAATTAGATGTCTGTGAGAATAACTCATTATTTGTGCTGCCTGTCTCAGCTAGATGTCTGTGAGAATGCTTCATTATTTGTTGTGCCAGTCTCAACTAGACGTCTGTGAGAATACCTCATTATTTGTGTGGCCTGTCCCAACTAGATGTCTGTGAGAATACCTGATTATTTGTTTGACCTGTCTCAACTAAACGTCTGTGAGAATACGTCATTATTTGTTGTGGCCTGTTTCAACTAAACGTCTGTGAGAATACCTCATTATTTGTTTGATCTGTCTCAACTAAACGTCTGTGAGAATACCTCATTATTTGTTTGACCTGTCTCAACTAAACGTCTGTGAGAATACCTCATTATTTGTTGTGCCTGTCTCAACTAGATGTCTGTGAGAATGTTCATTATTTGTTGTGACCTGTCTCAACTAAACGTCTGTGAGAATGTTCATTATTTGTGTGGCCTGTCTCAACTAAACGTCTGTGAGAATGTTCATTATTTGTGTGGCCTGTCTCACCTAGACGTCTGTGTGATGTGAGACTCTCCACTGACAGTCACCGACACACAATACACAAGCTGCTTACACGAAGTACCAGACATTTGCTGCAGTTACTCGTATCATCATGTGTACCTAGCATAGCAGAACTGTGCGAGCGAAAACACACAAAGACGCAAACAAAAACACACAGAAACTCAACACAGGTCTGATTAACCGTTTAAATGTCATGTTTTTGTAATTGTTCTATGTTAAATGTTCACTGCCCTCAGCACACACTGGCCTGTTTCCTAACACAACTTGAAAACACCAATAACTGGTCAGTTATAAGTTACGGTGCTCCTCAGGAGCTACACCAAAAACATTGAGTTGACTTGAGCTGATTCAAGAACCGTTATCACAGCCCTCAGAGCTTTCCCATAAGCGCCCCGTCCCTATCTTCTGCAGCCAGTGAAGAGTTCCAATACCAATGGTGCCGGTAGCATTCTGATTAAACGTCCGTCTTGTCTTTCCTATGAGCCCCGAGCATCTACCAGAACCTCTCGTCACTCTCCCTTGCATCAGTCTCACCAGATGGTGGTGATCCAATGGCTCCTCCTAACTGTACACACTCGCCCACACGGCTCGAATCACGTCTGCCTTATCATGCATCAGCATTCCAATAAGTAGTGCAGAGCCAGCCAGTCTGTCCGCCTGTTCATTTCCCAACACACCGGCGTCTCCCTGTGAAAAAAAATCCAGACAACACTCCTCACCCGTGTCCTCCGCAGTGAAGCATGCCACTCTGCACAAAGAATGCCTGGCCAAACTTTCCTCAGCATGCTTTCTGAGACAGCTACAATCACGATGTGTGTTTGTGTCGTGTTCTCTAGCCAGCAGAAAGCTGCAGTGACCGCCCATACCTCCATTCTTAAGCTAGATGTTGTGGTATCACATGTTAGTATCTACTTTTGCTAAGAAACCCCAAGCACTTCTTTCGCCTCCTGTTACTGATCCGTCTGTGAAAATAACCAAATCCTTTGAGCGAGCATTATCTTGAATTAATTTCTGAATTTTCACCACCGTGGTACCTGCTGGCCAGTCTCTGCATTCCCGGTTCAGTGTGATTACGACTCTACACAAGTCTGACTGTTCATAAACATTGATTCTAAATAAGGCTCCTCTAGTAACAGGTTCAGAACCACTGCACTATGACATATTCATAAGCCTATTGAAATTCGCAGTCAGTCTGAAAACGAAAGATTTGAAATCATCTTAAGAACTTCCATAGTTCAACCATGCGGAAACTGACACTCATGTCGATTTTAAGCAGCTGTACTTTTTTTTTAAATACGATCCACACACACACACACACACACACACACACACAAAAAACCACACACACACACACACACACACACACACACACACACACACGACGAAACACACACACACACACACATCGTTGACACTGCTTTGAGCCATGCAGAGGCAGATGATTCATGTTGAAAATAGAACTTTTCATGAGACTTTTGAGTACACGAATTTTCCAAACACGACAAAGTAAACCACTGTCACAGCTCTCTAGCGCCCACTGTTTGCTCATCGCAGTCTGTTTACTAGTACATTTGTCTGCCTATCCTTCTATATGTATGTCTGCCTGTCCTTCTCTATGTCTGTCTGCCTGTCCTTCTATATGTCTGTCTGCCTGTCCTTCTATATGTCTGCCTGTCCTTCTATATGTCTGTCTGCCTGACCTTCTATATGTCTGCCTGCCTGTCCTTCTATATGTCTGTCTGCCTGTCCTTCTATATGTCTGCCTTCCTGAAGATCTATCTGTTGATCTGTATTTGTTGTGTTTATGTGTCTCTGTTATGTCTGTGTTATGTTTCCGTGAGCAAGTGTTGTGACTGTTTGTTTTATATCTGTGTGTACGTGTTACGTGAGTGTGTATAAGTGTGTGTCTGTGTGTCCGCTGTGTGTGTTGTGTGCTTGGGTGTTGTGTCTGTATGTGTTTTGTTACTCTTTTTATTGTGTGAGTAAGTGTTGTCACTGTATATGTTATGTCTGTGTGCATGTGTGCGTGGCGTGTGCATATGTCCGTGGTGTGTGCATGTGTGCGTGGTGTGTGCGTGGTGTGTGCGTGGTGTGTGCATGTGTGCGTTGTGTGTGCTATGTATGTTGTACGTGTTTGTTGTGTCTCTCTGTATTGTGTCTGTGTGTGATGTGTCTATGTTAGTGATGTGTATGTGTTGTGTCTGTGAGTAAGTGTTGTGACTTTATGTGTTGTGTCTGTGTGTATGTGTAAGTGGTGTGTGCCCTGTATGTTGTACTTGTGTTATGTCTCTGTTTATTGTATCAGTGTGTGTCGTGTGTGTTATGAGTTAGATTATCTTCACAGCACTCCTGACACATCCATAGGCGCTCAGATTCCTTTCTCAACGTTCAAGGCTCAGTCTTGATTTCTAAAGCTAGCAAGGTCAGGACTGTGAGAACGCGCAAGACTTGTGAGTATGAAAGGGCCAGTACCCTTCGTGGACGCCTTCGACAGAAGGTGTGCAGCAGAACCATCACCTCTGTTTTTGTGCAGCCTCCATGGTGGACCCAAGAAGTACAACAGCATTAGACAGCAAAGCGAGGAGCAGTTAAACAATTCGAGAAAGTGAGAAAGGCACCTCACAGGTTACACGAGGATGTAAAGTAACTAGCAAAAGTGAGAAAAGTATTAATTCAAGCCTTGTGCAGCAGATGTAAAAAAGGCTAAATGGGAACAATTGAGGGAAATTGGAGGGGATAAATCACTAGGCAGGATTTGGAAACTGAACGGACAAATACAAAAGAAGGCCTTTGTGTTGCCTCGATAGCGCAGTAGGTAGCGCGTCAGTCTCATAATCACACAGTAAGAGCTATCTGAAGGTCGTGAGTTCGATCCTCCTCCGGGGCAGCACATTTTGGCTTCCGGTCAAAATGTACGCTAGGCACAGTTTCAAATCGTGGCAAAGTTTTTGCTTCTCCCAGACGGTGGTGGTTGCATTTTTGCTCTATTTGTAAACTGAACGGACATAGTTTCGTCGCCCAGCTACTGAGCTGAGTGCATTGTGCGACCCCGTGAGCTGCGGATTTCATTTGGAAAACTTTTCGACTGTGACCAACCTGGTGGTGTGTTGTGAATTATAGATTCAGACAATGGTGCCTGGCCTGTCGTCATAATATTGGTGGTGCTCTTATGTGATTAAAATTGATTGAGTGTGCAACTGCTGATTTGTTGGTTACCTCTGCTAACGTCGATGATAAACTGCATTTCTAATGTCGGACTTTTTGTGTTAGCACTTCTGATGGCTACCGTATGCTTTTAATGTGTGTGTGTGTGTGTGTGCTAGTGCATATGCTGATACAGCAGTCTGTCAATCTCCCCACAAGGGACTGGGGTGAACATTATGTGTGTTTTTCTTTGGCACAGGAGCGGAGCAACTATGCGGTGACCCGTTTACTATGAAGCTGAAACTAACATAACATAACATAACATAACACAACATAACAAAGCAATGATCGGTCTATCACAAAAGGGCTAACATACACTGATAATGATATCAGTATTACACTGATAATGATAACAGACAAAGAGAAAGGGAGAAACATATTTTGGAGAGATTTATAGCTCAAACATATCATAATGATGGGGAGTTTAGAAACTGAGATAGAGATAATCTAATTCAATAAATAATAATTTTATCAGGATATCATCAGGGTAGAGGATATAAAATATGTATTGCAACAAACAAACAAAACTGTGCCGGCGCCAGGCGGAGTGAGATTCAGGATATCATCAGGGTAGAGGATATAAAATATGTATTGCAACAAACAAACAAAACTGTGCCGGCGCCAGGCGGAGTGAGATATGCCCATATGATGAGCATGAGGAATACAAACTTAAGGGAGATGGTATTTCACTTCAACCAGAACGTCAGAAAAGCGTCAGTATCCAAGGATTATATCTGATCCCTTTTCCAAAACCAGGCAAAGATCATTCCAGACTCAGCGGTTTCAGTATTAGCACCTTACAAAATACTTTTCAGAGAAGAATATTGCTGTTAAACTACAGATATTTTTGGAAAGGGAAGAGCTGCTGTCAAAGGTTTTGGGTAGTTACCAGCCACGGAAAGATATTAGGTCTAATGCAGCTACTTTTGCTTTTGATGTTTATGAACGGTTCCAGAACAGCCAGGAGACAGTTGTGGCAGCACTTAATCTTGAAGAAGCCTACAATAGAGTCAGATATTATATTTGATATCTGCACGCACGGAGAAGGAGGTTTGTCCCTGGTTTGTGAACTGGATAGCAGCTGTGCTGCATTCACGCATGCTAGCCCTTTGCCTGGGTACATGGACCTCAGAACCATGTTATATCGCCCTGGGACTATTCCAAGGTTCTGCAATTTCACTGGGGCTCTTTAATGTGTATACAAGCAAGATTACAGAGCTGCACCAGGTGTTGGAAGGGTATTGACATTTACTAATGATGTTTTTGCAAATAAGCAAGGGAATGATAGACAACAGATAGCCCAAGTGACTGACGAGTGTGCAAACATGGAGGCTGTCATCAACTCAGAAAAAGCGGCTGTTTTGTGGTGCTCTCTGGACAATATAATTGTAAGAGCTAATGTTTCAAGCCTCACAGTTAATAATAGTAACATCAAAAGAGGAAACGAAGTGAGGTATCTGGGTATCACTTTAGATAGAAGCCTGTCCTATAGGGATCCTGTGGTGAAATGCCAAAAAGACTCAATGCTCTCAAGATGATGGCAGCAATGAATAGACAACAAAGAATGTTGTTCACAAT